TTTGTGTAACCAGCATCAACAAGATAATATTGATCTTCAGGGACACGGAGCCCATTTGGCCTTGAGATGGCATCTCTAAGAACATGACCATCATGTGCAGAACCCTCCCAACCAGGTAGTATGTAAATGAACTGCATGTCAGGTGCACACACACCTAACACATTTGTATCTATATCACCCAACCTTGATCGGTATCTTCCTTTCATAGTAGCCGGGACGGTTACCCCTATGTGTGTGCCATCTAACGCTCCAAGACAATTCTACAACATAAACAACAATGTGCAAACATTAGCATCTTTACCACTATTGAGTTCATCTAGTATTTTTTCTTTCTTAGTAGCTATGTACCTTGAAATATTTCCATTTAGCATTTGTGCAGTCCTCGGGTATAGGTTCTGGCTTCTTAAGTAGCAATGGATGAAGCTTCAAAACAGCTAGAAGACAAGCATTGAAGTTCCTACTAACTGGCTCCGGGCTTCGGTAAAAGAATTTCCCTACTGTCCTATTTTTGAAATGGTGAGCTAATACATAAAGGAATGATGCCACTATCTCCTCCAATGATGTACTCCTTGTACCCCTTAGGCCACCAACATCTCTCACCATCTCACATAATATATGAAATGTTCTCCTATCCATACGAAGTTGACTTATACACACTGCGTCACTCTCACCAATTAGTTTATGCAAATTCTCTCCTCTTAGCTCTCTAATTCTAAGCCTCCTTTCTATTTGCCAACACTTTCTTCTATAAACTAATCCAAAGATTAACCACACATAATAGTATACAAGCATAATGGCACTCATTAGATTAATAAATGCTACATTTCTTCTTCGACGTCTCGCGCTTAAGGGAAGACGGGCCATAACTGAAAAGATATACAAAATATAGGGTAATTCCAGGAGATGTGTGGTTGCTTGCCAAAAGAAATTAATGTCTACTCAAGTGTATGGGTGAAGTAAATATATGATAGCATGTGTTCTTATCATTGCTTGTTGTTGCATTGGCAAGATTCATACCACTATAAGAAGAAAATATTGTTAAGAACAGATCAATATTAGGGGAAGAACTCACCAACCGATGGGGGAGGAGAGGAATGAGCAGGACAACCGATGAACCGATGTTGGGAAAAAGAATGTTAAAGTGGAGGTTGATAAGCGAAAATACAGTACACTTCAGATCCTGCACACGAAAACAAAACAAAATATTAGAAATTGCTATAATTTATAAGCCAACAAAATAGTATACAAACAAAATAATAGTTCTCCTAAAGAGAACAGATCAAAGAGTGTAAATAAGTGGCACCGTCGTCATCATAGTGTGCACACGGTCACATATTATTAGCGTCTAGAGATCATAATACTGAATTAGAAACAAAATTCTCAGGTTGAAATCTCAAGGCAGCAACATATATAAATAGGACACAAAGAAAAGCTAGATATCACTATAAATAATAACACATCAAAAATGTTCAATTAACTCAATCTGGTTCGCAGCAATATATTCAGTTAAGTCATCCTTGCAATTGTAGGATGACCGTCATCTTGAGTGACGCTCGGGCTTAATCTCCATAGAATTTGTTTCTCACCATGGCCATCTTTATAGCTCCCATTTTCAGGTCATGATTAATCACAGGTAGTTTACTTCTATCTACAATTCACAAGTGCTTGAACCAAACAGTACAGGAAAAGATGATCAAGAACAGATCAATATTTTTCTAGTGTCTCATCGAATCAAGAAGAAATCAAGAAAAAAAATGTAAATGATGTTTAGCCCTAACCTAATTCGGTAGCATGGCCGGTGCTGCTTCTCGATGGCAAGAACGAGGACGACTAGATGGCTCTGGCACTGAACAGTGAGGCGCTGGATCTGACACACACACACACACACACACACACGTCCTCTTTGAACCCCCGCGCAGGCCAGCACGATGTGAACGTCCAGGCTCGAGATCTTGCGCAAGGACCTGGGAAACTGAAAGGAGGAGAGGTGTCCGGTGAAAAACCACAAGATCTGGTCGATTCGCCGGCGTACGCGTGGGGAAAAAGGAGCGGACGGTCAGGTGACCTACCTACAGCCCTGAAGCTTGAGGTGTCGGGGAAGGAGCGGGTGGGCTTCTTCTTGACGCCGGGGAAGTCGGCCTCGACGCCTCCGACGCCGACGGGGGTGGCCGGAGAAGGAGATCAGCGAAGGCCAGTCGAGGGCTGGAGGCGGCGGAGGGGAAGGGTTGGAGGCTCGGGGACTCGGGGAAGGGATCTGTTTGCGGTCAGGTTCGGGCGTAATCGGACCGAGACTTGGGTGGGATCTGTTTACACCGTAACCAATAACGGAGCTACCTAAACAAACAGCTATTAACGCAATCCGTTACCGTCGTTATCAGGTTGCGTTACAATTCGCCGAACCAAACACCTCCTAAATGGTTTACCCACCACAGACGTGATGTTCTCACAAAGGCAGCCGTACGCAGTCCAGCTTCTCTCGGGATTCATTGGTCTCTCTGAATTTGGACGTGATCTTCTCACAAAGTTGGAGCGCATTTTGGTAGATGTTATCGTGCACGCACCACGAATTGGACATGATATGGACCAATAGTTGGAGGACAACTCGGCTCGATAAACGTTGTTGAACATGCACGTTTTACCAGGATGTCGAACATACTCTCAAAAGAAAATTTTACCAGGATGTCGAACATATATTGCCCCTGCTATATGCAACCGGTTCGACTCGAGCTTTAGGTATGGTCTATGGTAAAAAAGGTGGTGGCCGCGTGTATGTCGTGGACGAGCAAGTGCGTGTAGCGTAGTTAAAAACCATGGTTCGTACTGAGCCGTACTTAAAAACCATGATGCCCGCTTTTCCCGTATGATTAGCCAAGAAGATGAAACACATGCGCGTCCAGTGGCCCGGTCTCTATCAGCAAAGCGTTGCGAGACTCGCTCCAAAAATTTCTACTCCTACTAAAGAAAAGCGTGGTCATTCTCTATGTAACCTCGTGCTACTTTCGCGACCAAATTGTTGCAAAATAGAACGGCTTTTGGCAACGTCTGCGTGGAACGTCTTTCCCCACGCCACAACTCATCTATTTTAATCTTTTTTTATTATATGAACGTGCACTTCTTTTCCAAATGGTGCCAACCACTAGTGCTCATCTGTCACGACCAGATCAGCCGAGTGTACGTGCCGTTCCGAGCAGTTTCCGAAGGCACAAGGCACAATTATTTATCACGCATAGGAAAAATGTATTAAAAAATACAATGCGTAAGAAAAAAATTTGATCATGTATTTTCAAAAAAATTAAAAAAACATTTGAAAATTGTCGAAAAAGTATTTTCAAAATGTTAATCAAGCATTTGAAAAATGTTAAATGTATATAGAAAAAATGATTGACCATGTTTAAAAAAATAATCAAGTATTTTAAAAACTCTAATCAAGCATTTGGAAAATTTTAAAGGTGCATAGAAAATATGTTGACCATGTATTAGAAAATGATGAAAAAATTGATCATGTATATAAAAATGTCAATCAAGCATAAGTTTGTATTTAAAAAAATGTTAAATGTATAGAAAAAATGTTGACCATGTATTTAAAAGATTGTTAAATCTGTATTCAAATGGGTATAGAAAAAATGTTGACCATGCATTCAAAAAAACCTTAAACTTGTGTTAAATTTCTTTAATCAAGCATTTAAAAAATTAAATCCGTATAAAAAATGTTAATCAAGAGTTTTAAAAATGTTAAGTATATATTAAAATAATATATTATATGCACCATAAATGTGTATAGAAAACCAGTGAAACCCAAGAGAAAAGAAGAAAAACGCAAAAGAGACAAACTAAACCGATGTAAAACAAAGAAAAAAAACAAAGCAATAAAGGAAAACTAAAGGAGAAAGAAAAGGATAAAAACCAAAAAAATGGAGAACGAAACGAACAAAAACCGATGAAAAACAAAGGAAAAAACGGAAAACCTGATATATTTTTTTGGAAAACCGGCTCTTTTCCCTATAAGAAGGCCACGCCCTAGTATTCAACATGAACCCGACGCTTACCCAATGGCTAGCTTCGCTAAACGTAATCCAGGAGAACTCGGATCTCTCTTTTTCTTCTTGAGCTCTGCTTTCAACTAGGCCGGCCCTTTTGCACCCACCGGTTATTTCTTCTTCTTTTTCTTGGATTTTTCTGTTTTCCTTTTTTAAAATCGGTGAATTTTTATACTGACTGCATGGATGTGGTTAAGATGATCACGAGCACGGACAAGGACAGATCGAAGCATACGATGATGGTGAAAGAAAGAAAACCACTCCTTCGGGAGGGTAGAGAAGTCTTAGTCAAGCACTCCATTTAGTCATTATTTAGCAAACTTTGGCAAAACTGAGAAGCGCACTGCGGTATGGCTCTGCTCCCTTCAAGACCTGATGAGATTTCTTATGTTTGTATGGTAGACTTGGCCGCCGCTTGATTAATATAAATTCTCTTTCTCCTTGTTTTTTTGGCCCTTAATTATGATACACTTGGTCGGGCGCCATTGGATCATGATTGAGTTCCTTTTCTTGGTCCAAAAGTAATAATAATAAACAAATCCACTGGCCTGTAAAATCAGTTAATACTTACGGTGGCACAGTGCCACGAAGAATGCAAGAATCAGGGAAATGGTCAAACCAAATCGAACATCAACAACCGCTGATATGTGTGACCAATTTCCATGGATCTCTCAACTACGGCTACTAATGTACAATGATTGATAAGATAGTTCTATCTTAAGTCTTGCACTCTTGCATGTAATTAGATATGACAAAAAACATGTCTACAATGGATCATTTCTTAGCCTTATCTTCAATAACTAGCTATTCCTAAAAACATGATGAGACATATTGTGCTAATCATCTCTTATCTTCTCTTAAACAAGAGAAGACAAGTCTTTTTTTATGATTTTTCTCTCATTCATCTCATCATTTATCCTACGTGACCTTCTTAAAATAGAACCATTGTACATACCCTACCAATTAATGGTCACGAGGAAGCAGGTCGAGCGACGCGGCCCCGAGCCTGGTGGCGTTCACATAGTCTTGCGGCGCGTGGGCCGGCAGACCGGGGATGAGCAGCCCAACCGCCCGGGCGACCCTCATCGTCCACCCCTCCACGTACTCCGCCCCGTCTACGTGCCCGATGACGAGCCCCCGGGCGAGCTCCCATACCGCGTTCATGTACTTGGACACCACGAACGCGAGCGAGAAGTAGTTTTTGTTGGGCTCCTCCTCCATGGCCCGCGCCTTGTAGAAGCCATCGAAGTAGATGCACCGGCCGAAGTGCTTGAACAGGCCGTCGTACGGCACCCTCGGCACGATGTCGTTGCAGTACACGAACCGGAAGTATCTCCCCCTTGCCGCCGGCGTGTCGAGGTGCCGCTCCACGAACTCCCCGAGTCGTGCGTCCCCGACGCGCGGCTGCCCGTACGTGTACACGCCATGGAGCCTGGCGAGCAGGTCATGCTCTCCGTGCAGGGCGAGGATGGCCGGGAACAGCACAGCGAGCGCGCCGCCCAGGCTGTGGCCTGTCACCGCGAACCGGGCGCGCGAGTTGGCCGCTAGGGACTTCTTCAGCGCGTCGCGGACGGCGTAGTAGGTGAACGGCCGGCCCTTGGTCGCCTTGATCTCCGCCGGCCAGCTGACGGCATCCCTTTGCAGCCCGAGCGCCTTCATGAAGCCACCGTGGACCTTGCCCACCCTGGGGATCTCGTACCAGGAGATGTCGACGTCCGTGCACCAGTCCTCCGCGTCGAACGGCTGCGTGCCCCGGAACGCCACCACGACGAGGTCGGCGTCGTCCGGCTTGTCCGCGAACATGAAGGCCTGGGTCGTGTGATCGCCTCGGAATTCTGCCAGGAGGTAAAGAAGACATGTTTGTTGCACGTTAGCCAAAACTATTGTTGCCATACTTCATGCATGCTTCATGTTTCGCGTGCCCTAAAATCTTACCATTCCAGCAGTTGAAGAACTCGAGGACTTTCATCTGCCAGTGGTTTTCGACAACGTTCTTGATGACCAGCTCGTTCTCGTAGGCTAGTTTCGAGGCCATGATGCCCAGAGCAGCGAGGTAACTGCCATCCTCTGGCTTGATCTTCTTGTCCAATTCGATTCTCATGTCGATAAGTCCGATGAGCGATCGATAGTTGGGGGATTCTCTGTTCGGAATTCGTAATTTGCCTGCAAATGTATGTAAAGTTAGCTGGCAATTATCGTCAACCGCGTAGCCAGGCTGAAGCCACGCCCCGGGCCGACAGCATTGGTACAGTGTGAAACAGTGCCCAATAATGATCCTGTGGCTAAAGTCATTGAAGGATCAGCCGGACACGCCCCGGGCCACAGCCCTGGTAGCCTGGGGCCTGGCTACGCCCCTTATTATCACCATTGTTGTAGTACTTCGAAGAAGCAAAACAGCGTCATGCGTGCATGTATAAAACTGTCAAATTCTGCAATGCAGTTTTCTGAGGACTCTTTAGACTTTCTATGGATGTTGTTTGACTTTCAAAACCTAGGGGTGTTTTCCACGTCACTACAAATAAAAGAAAGGGGAACATTGAAGATTTTGGAGCAATCGTGCCGAATTATTTC